GCATCGAGCTGAAGGAAGCACGTTATCATTGAATGAATGATTTTAGCTGAATGTAAAATCTGAATCTACATTTCTAAATGTAGCACAGAGATAAAAAGTATTTTTCCAACAAATGCCTCAATATTAAGTTCAGTGGAAACCTCTTAAAGTGATAACGGTTACACTGACGAACCGCTTATATGGACTAAACAGCTCGAGATAGAATCTTTGCACAAATGCTCAAGTTGTCCGCTTGCAGAGTGTTTTTTTTTTTTTTTCATACGAAAACATTTTAAAACTACGGTAGGATAACATTAATTACATTTTATTGATTTTGTTTGTATTCCATCTCGCGGTAAGCCGTCTGCTTTCCGACTGGCTACTTGAGGCTGTAGTTGCGTGCGCTTTGAAATCATGACGGGGAAAAAGAAAAGTCCATTTTCTCTCAATGAAAAGCACCTGTGGTTGAAGCCGCAGCTCGTCCAGTGGATTGATAATGTCTGGTCACCTAATGCCCCTAAAGTGAAACCAAACCTCAACCGGCTCCGCTTGGACCATGCAGACCTGCCTGCCTTTTACTTTATATTCATCTCATACATTATACTGCTGCTACTACTGCTAATTATCTGCATTGTCATCTCCGCTGTATAAACTTTTTGGTCTTGTTCAGCGGCCCTTTAGCTCCAGCCCTCTCAGATCACTTCTGGTTCCAAAAACCAAGATGGCGACGGCCACAATACCGAACTCGAGGCTTCAAAACAGTCCTCAAACCCGCACACAAACCAATGGGTGACCTCCACGTCCACCTCTTTACAGTGATATGATTTTTTTTTAAATTTCAACTCAGTTTCAACCCTTTAATCGGAAAATCGGCAGCTCCTCCAGTCCGCATGTCGAATCGTCGCTGGGCAAGACACTGAGCCCCAAATTGCTCTGTGTGTGTGAGAAAATTACCATTTATATTAGACTGATTAGACTGGACTATTAGCAGGTGGACCCTTGTATGGCAGCCTCTGCCGTCAGTGTATGAATGTGTGTAAACGTATGTGAATGTGTGTGAACGGGTGAATGTTGACGTGTGGGGTAGAAGCCCTTTGAGTGAGCGGAGGACTAGGCAGACGCTCTATAAATTCACGTCCGTTTACCATAAAAAAATATTGATTTATGCAACTTTAAAAACTAATGACGTTATTAAAATCCCAAATATTGATTCAGAACATGAAGTGCGGACTAACAGTCTCTGTGTCCTTACAGCGTCTTTTTCTAGGCAGAAATGTTTCTATGACAACAATAACTTGTCATCACATCAGCACTCTCGGCGTCGTCGTATGTTAGACCAGCATCACCCCGTTGCTTTTAAATATCCATCTTTTTGTTTGCACAAAGACAAAAACTGAATAGTCTGTGAAATATTCCCTCACAACCACTGTAGTGTTTGAGTAAATGTGCCAGCTTCCCTTTGTGTTTTACTTCAAGCTTTCACACACAAACATATCCGTCTGAAGTAGGGCTGCACAATTATTCAAAATTTTATCGAAATGGCATTATGGCCTCTTGCAGTTTTCAAATGACGGGAGGCGCACTATTTGTAAACGGTGAAATGTGTTTCATAATGTCATCATTGTGAAGCTACACATCATATTTTACAGACTTCAGAAAACATCTTTGTTCCATACAGATCCAAATCATTTTAATGTTTTTTCAATGAAACTGAGAATAATTATGTATAAATTATCATTACCTGTAATACTACAAAATCATATTTATTTTCAGAATTATTTTCAGAATCATTCAGGCCTAATCTGAAGACGCTGAAAAGCTTGAAAACAGAAATCATTATGAAGTTTCCCGACTGAGCTAAACCGAAAACCATCTTTCTGTCTTTCATCATTCATCCTCTGAATCGCATCTCGATGTCACCGTCTGCCCCGAATCCATAAACCAAAGGAAGCAAGCTCACGTTTCTCTGTGATTTTTAACAAGTCCGCGATGATGTTCAAACATCGTTCGTGTCTGATTTACTGTCGGCACTTTCACTTCTCAGCTGTTGCGTCTGATTACATTACAGACAGAGAGCAGCATGAAATGTTCCTGTCGATTTAACAACTAAATAATGCTCATCGTGGTTTAAAAAGGAGATGAATGACTCTCGAAGCTATAAGATATGTTGTCGTCTGTATAAAGTCAACTTGTTATGAAGATTTAATGAGTGCAGACGTTTTACAAATAGATCAGCCGACTGGATGGCGTTGTTTCAAACATGCATCTTGATTTTTTGACTTGAATGCAAAAATCCAGGAAGAATAAAAAAATCAGACCGGCAGGCCTTACATAATTGTTTATTTAATTTTAAGGCCCATTCGTTAAAGGATGTTATCTTATTTGTCCGGCTGGTCTCATCCAGCATTCGTAGCTATACCTACGAAAATATAATGCGTAGATATCCCTCAAAATACATGTGTACGTTATCCAGATAATCATGAACAAGCAAATATAAAGACAGCAAAAACACACACAGGGATGGAGGGGAGGTGGATAAGTTAAACAACCCCCCCCCCACCTTTCAACCAAGAGACCGCTGTTAGTTCTCCGCGTGGAACGAGAAGTCAACGTTGATTTATTTGTCACGTAACTTGCAAACTTCACTATCGGCACCCACGTGGTTGTTTTAACCCAAATGACGATCTTTTGCTGAACCTAATCAAGTAGTTTTGTTGCCTAAACCTAACTAAGTTGATTCCTGTGGAGACGAAAGTTTATTTTGAAAAGACTTTATGCATGCGAGCTGAAATTGACACGTGTTGTTGGACTTTAGTAGAAAAATGCATGAAAACTGAGGAGCAACTTTATGTAAGATATTACATGAAGAGTTGTATGAGGATACTTTGCATTTGTTGGAAACGCAACATTGAAATAGCAATTTTGATTGTGAACATTAAGAAACCTGAAAGACTTCTTGGCATGTTGACTTTTATGTTGTTTACGAGAACTTGAAACTTAACGGAAGAATCGTGACTTAAATTTGTCTCGATTGGATTTGAAACTTGCCCCATGATTCCTTCATCATGGCCCAAATTTTCATTGGACGCTGTTGTTGCTGCGTCGGTGGAATATCTTTAGACACCAAAACACTGCACTAGTTGTGTACTTCGTTGTGACAATCAGGATGCAACACTTTTTTTTTCACTTTTGTTGCAGCAAAGGTTGAGTATTGTTCAGCTTTTTTTCCCCCCAACAAACTTGGTGTGAGCGGAGTCGTCTGCATCTGCACTCCCACTGAGCCAATGCAGCAGTCACATGCAAATGAATGAGGGGGCTGTTTGTCTGAATGCAGCCTTAGAGTAACAAACAAACAAGCAGCTTTTCAGAGTAAAACAAATGAAGACGCAAGCTAAACAATGTGTTACAATACATAAAACAAAAACAGAAGGACTGTGTACAAAATATATCCAAGGGAGCAGAGATAAGTAGTATATTAATAAGTACTCTGATTCGGTTGCATATACATCTGGTTTAATGCTGAGAAATAAGCATCTAATCTGTTTTATTTTGAAATAAATACATAATATTCTGTCTATAATGACATTTTTTTATTTTTGTTAAAATGTTAGTGATTATAACTTCTGCCATCTCCTAATTAAGTATTTATACAGGCCACCAGCAATACTCCTCTCCGTCTGTCTACGTTCGAGCTCCTCTGATGCATAAACCATCGCAAAGTTATTTTTGTATGAAAATATTATAAATCTTTCAACATATTTTGGTTTCTCGTCAAACCCAACGAGACTAACAGCAACCAGAATGGCTCATTAATGGCTGTGTGTCTGAAGAGCTTTGTGTCTTTGCCCTCCGATGACGTACACAATAAGACACTTCTGTGGGTTTTAACTCGCCGTTGAGTAGTTACGGTGGTCGAAGCAAAAAGGAAGCAAACCGTAATGTGCCGAGGAATCTATTAACTCATTCACCGTAAAGTGCCTGGGTGAACCGAGACGCCCATCAACCTTTCTGGAAAGCCTGGGGAGAAAAGAAAGAGAATCACAAAGACCGTAAGAAGCTGAGTTCAGGGCCACACACACACACACACACACACGCACACGCTTTGAAACTAATTCCATAAAGTCAAGTTTTAATGTTGGTCTGTTGGTTTTTAAAGGTCACTGAAGCAAATTACTGAGAACCGCTGAACTTGACTTGTTACACTCACTGCGTTTGTTGCTTTCGTACTCTAAAGACACACACACACACACACTTACACGCACACACAGACAGATGGAAATAGTGTACACATGTAAGACACACAAACACACACACACACACTCTCTCTCAAACAGCCCCAGGTGTTGAACATGTTGAGTTTTGACGCTATTTTAGTCATTGGACATGATGGTCCCAGCTGTCAGAGGGCCTCCTGGAGGCACACACACACACACACACACTCACAGGTCTCAGTCCCAAAGCATCTGATCAACTGAGGGAGTGCGTGTGAATTCACTGGCTCTTTTTTCACCCCCCTAGGTTTATAATATGTTTTATGTTTTCGTGTTGTCCGTCCGTCCGTACATAAAAGTTCAAGGTCCCTGTGACCTCATCAAACATGTATTTGGTCATTTATATTGGAATATTATTGGAATTCATTTGCTAGTTATGACAATCTCACACAAAGTCTAATAGGATATGTGGATGTCAAGTGAACCGCTATGGCGCTATGGCGTCCCGATAGAAACCTTTAGTGATGATGCTACATTGTGAAGAAGACATCTGTGTTGAAACCAGCCGGAGGAGAGCTAGCTAGCGTTAGCAGCCGATAGGCAGCAGCACGGTCCTGCTCGGCTAAATAACGGAGCTAACAGCTAACGCACGGAGGTCGCATCGAGTTACATTATGATGCGTTCAAGCTCTTTTCAGTAAACATTAGTGTTGGGTGAAAGTGAATTATAACGTTATCATGATGTGTTCAAACGTAATCTTGTAAATGATTCTCGTCTTCAGTTTGAAAAGTGATGACAATATTCTCTGGAGGAGCTCCAAACTCTTTATTTTACACACACGGTAAGTTACAGGTATGTGGTGATTCACACATTTGTCTGCTGATAATTGACTTTTTTACGAAAGTAATTTTCAGTTTTTTTTCTCAGTAAAAGAACAAAACAGTGACAACAAGACTGATATCAAGTCTACTAATTTATTTCCATTTTCAGAGTAATTTGTTTTGATGGATTTACTAGATCTTTTATATTTGCAGGGATAATATCTGTGGATACAATTCTGTTTAATTACACCACAAAATGCAGCCAAATATTAATTTATCAGGATCTCAAGACATTTCTTAGGCAAAACTGGAAACTGCAGATCTTCTAAACCCATCCATTGATTATCAGGACTTTAAAGAACTTCTGTACAACAGCTGAACAGGAGGACAAATGAGTGTGTCGCTAAAATAGCATCATGATACAAAAAACTGTGCCTCATTCAACTGAGGTCTCTCTACAAAAATACATCTAATAACAGCTTTTTTTTCTTCTCTAATTTACAGTTATATCACAATAATAAATAAAAACGACGTTCATGGGGAACGTATGGTTTCAAACCCCTCGTGGGACGGAGCTACGGGGAGAGAACAAGTTGCCGCGTGAGCACTGTCACACCAGCTAAATAGGATTCTGGTGTTTATTTTCTTTCTTTCACTCTGAGCTATGAGTAGAAGACGTCATAGGTTTCATGTCGCTACCTGTTCATAAACACCACAGCTGAAAGCAACTGAAAACTGTGATGCTGTAAACATCCAGGCGTGTGTGTCCAGGCGGCTGGGATCAATATACGACCAACCGTGTTTTACTTGTGCACGCCTGAAAGTCTGAGTGAGAGCGAGGAAGGCGATCCGCCCACAAAATCTGCTCCTTGTCGTTTAATTTTCATGCATATTTGCATTTGTTTGTTTGTCATTGCTGCCTGCGCAGGAATAATCTGTAGTCGCTGAGATGGTTAGGCGCAGCCAGTTATGCCCCAAAGCCATCGCAGCCAGATGTTCATCTTCAGAGGAGCGAGAGAGAATAACAATGTGTTTGTTATAAGTGTGGGAGTTACTCTGCAGTCCCCTTGTCGTTACTACATGCATTCACATCTCTGAAAGTCTTGAGCGTCACGCAGGCTCTCTGGATGTTTTGTTAATTGCCAGGTAATCCTGCTGCACTCAATGACACAAAGTGAGACTCAGAAGAGGAGAATGTGGAGAAAGAAGAAGGGTGAATCCACACTTACTCACATGTGGCTTTTGTCCTAATACCTTAGCTTTTAAAAGGAAAAGAAATCCACCCTGAGGGGCCGCGAGGAGAACACGCTTTGAACCTCCTGCATATGAATGAAAGAATGCGACTGAATTCTTGAAGCACCGAGATTTGCTTCTGTGTTATTTTGTCGCGAGACACTGTGTGAAAAAAGAAATTTAAATCACCTGTCAACCTGCAACAAAAGCGAGCGATGAACGACAACCGGTGGATGTTTGTTTTGTGATTACCTGACAATCAAATCCTCCCATCTTCCTCATCTCTGCGTGTGCCTCTCACAGGGACACGGCCCTGTTGAAGCCGGGTGTGATGCTGAATCACTCTCTCTTTCTCTGTGTGTGTTTTATTTTGGCCTTTTGTTTCCTTGCATGAGTCACTAAATGTAAAGTTATCCACCACGCTTGGGATATTTTTAGTGCAGGCTGCAAATCGGGCGAGATCGCAGAAAATCAACAGTCTAAAACGTCAGGAGTAAAGGTCAGACGCTGGAGTCAGTCCCTCAAAATCAAAGAGCAAAGGCTTTATTTCAAACTTAACATTTCGCTCCGACGTTCAGCTCTCACACAGGGAGAAATACACTTCAGAAGAGGCTGAGAGACAATTTATACACCAATGACAGCATCAGTAGGCCTGTATGCAGCAGAAACACACAGGCTGCACCCCATTTCTTATGCTACAGACTAATACAGCATGTTCTACTTTTTATGTACTTTATAATAACAGAAAATTACACAAGAGTTGCCCCATTGGACGTCAATCAAACTGCCACTTTAAAATGCCAGCGAGGATTTATTTTTCGTTATTTTTCTCAATTGTTCCTGAAGCATTTCATTTTTTTCCAGCTGTGAGCAGGTTCTCGATTTCCTTACAGTGCGATGTCCATCATCAGTGCACCAAGAACCAACTTGATTTAATCACCTTGTTACTGTGAAGAATGGCTATTCTGTAGTTTGAGCTTTATTTAAGCTATACGGTTGAATGTGCTGTTCAGAGATGTTTGTTGACAAAATGATTGTTTTTTTCTTTGTTAAAATGATGAGGCACTAGAAGTAGATATATTCATTTTTAATAATCATTTTGGACATGAAACCCCAGGGTCTTGTTTTAACTGTTTTTCGACACCCTCTATTCCTGACCGGGGCTAGCAAAACAGAGCCTATAGCTTCACGTGTCATGCAGGAGTTCAGCTCTTAATAACCTCCAGCTGAGAGCATGGAGTTCACATCTGTCTAGAAAGTCACTCAGGGGAAAAGTAGGAAAATCACCAACTGAAGTAGAAACTCTCAGGGGAGAAAAATGTAAATCTCAACAAGAAAAGAAATCCTGCATTTATTATCACAGATTGAAGATATCTGCAGACGGAATTTGTCCTTAAAAGTCTCAAACCACAGTTTTTTTTCAACGTGCGTTGAAACGGAGCAAATCATTGGTTTAAAAGATGCTAACCAGGAGCGTCGACTGATTTTCTGCAGAGGGAAAACGAGCCCAGCTGTGTATCCCCGCCACGATTCCACTGGCTGCACACCTGAGGCTCATTTCCAGCAGGATTGCAACTGATGAAGATAATTAGCCATCTTTTTTTTCACACATGTGAATCAGCGCTTTGAGTGTTTGGACGGGGTGATGAGGTTTGGCTTTAAGAAACAACGCCTTTTGTTTTTCTACTTAATTCTTAACCCTCGCATTTCATCCCGGCCTCGAGTATGCAGGTAATGACGCATGCAAGCTGCTCTCACCCAGCTGACAACTGGTTCATTGAGAAAATGGGAGAATGTACCTTTAATTTGTCTATTTCTTAGCTTCTCTTTTTAATATGATTTTTAGAACAACACCTGTAAGGGCAGGACTGCAGGATGGGGCGGGGGATACAGAGACGGGTGGTGACTCTGCATGGGATGGAACGCCGTCGCTAAGGGATAAGGACCGGAGGCATCAAGGAAAGGGATGGGGGAGGAGGAGTAAAAAGAGGGATGAAGAGGGGGAGGAGGTGGTGGTGGTGGTGGAGGAGTGAGAGGGGAGAAAGAGGGGAGGAGATGTGGGTATGAGTGCATGGGGAGGTGCGACGGATGCGGGAGGAGGGAGAGGTGCTGGATGATGGTGTGACGGAAGGAGAAGGAGGACGAGGAGGAAGGTGGGAGGAGGAGGGGAGCGTGGAGCGGGATGCACTGCGTGGGGAGGGCGCGGGGGAAACAAGGCCTTTTCTCTGCGTAGAGGTGTTCGAACTCTACCTCCTTCCTTCTCTCCATGTCCTCCCTTTCCTTTCTCCTCACCCACTCCTTTTCCCACTCTGCCCGCTTCTCCTTGAGCTTCTTCCTCTCCGCCTGCCTCTCCTCCTCCTCCCTCCTCTCCCTCTCGGCATCCCCCCGCTCCACAAGTGCGCTCACGAGTGCGACACCGGCTCCGTTTCCATCAACAACAACAACATCTGCACAGCGATTGCAATCAGCGACATGATTACTGTTAAGACAATCACGCTGACCACCGTCAATATCATCACAGCCGTCTCCATGTCCCTGATCAATACCGCTGCAGCTTTTGGAATCAATTGAATCAGAGTGGTTGCTTTTGTGCCGAATGTGACGCTGCGGTTTGGTTTCACCCTCCTCACTGACCTTACTTTTGATATTCGCTTGGTTATGATCACACTTGTGACGTGTGTCATCGGTTCTACGGTCGCTACACTCGGAGCTCTGAGCTGCAGTTTGCACACAAAGATCACCCGTTTGATCTTTGTGAGCGGACGTGCTTTCGCTCTGCGGCTGCCTGTTTTCACATTGACAGTGGTCAGCATGCACATCATCAGCGGTGCTACAGGTAAACAAGTCCACGGGTGTGTTCACGGTGTCGCAGGTAGGTCCGTCACTCTTGTCGGCTGAGTCGAGTTTGTCCAGGTGATCGGCAGGACGGTCCTCGTCTTTGTCCGTCACGCTGCGGCTCAGTTTGTGATTGTCACGAGTAGAGTCCTCGTGTTTTTCGTCCCTGTTGCACTTTTCCTCACACTGATCGTGGTTACAGGTGTGAGAGTCGCTGAAAGGTTTCTCAGTCCAGCACTTCCTCTTTCCCTCGCTTACGGAGGCATTGCTGTTGCCGTCATGGCGGCCGCAGTAGTTATTCGGTTTGTCAGTGGCATTACAGCTAAATGTTCCCTCACTGTTATTATTCGTTTTATGACACAGACTGAGTTTTGTCCTGCAAAGAAAATGGCAGTCAGTGTTTTCCTCTGGACTGCACATGCAGCTGTCCAGAAGTGTCCCAGTCTTGTTGGCTTTGGGTTTTTTGAGGACCTCGTCTACGCCGAGGTCAGGGGTCAACCCAACACAAGCTCCCTCCTGCCTCAAAGCACAAGCGACTCTCCTCGTTTGTCTCCTTCCCCTCTTCCGTTTCTTCCTCGGTGTTTCCCCGGCCTCGAACGAGTCCGTCTTCCTCTTGTTGGCGGCTGCTGCTCCCTCCGACACCACCTCCTTTGTAATCGCATGGCCAGCGAGGGTTGTGTCGGAGCGGGCTGATCCGATTCTCGGTTGTGCTTCTGCCTGTCGTGCGGAGCAGCGTGGGGTCGAGCCCGAGGCGGCACGTCCGTGTCCTGCAGGTATTGTTTGTCTTTGACCACACGCTGTTCCTCTGAAGGGAGCGGGGATGAGGCTAATCGCCGGATCGCACGCTGTTTCCCCGCGCGGTGCGGGAACAAGATGAATTTGCGCCTCACGGCGGGGAAAAGAATCGCCGCTAATCACCAGGTTACACGCGTTTTCCTGAACAGCTCTTATCTCCGTCTTCCTCGGATATCTCTGCCCCTCGTCTCTCTGCCCTTCCTGCTTCCCCGCTTGTGTATTTTTGTGCATCTCCCCCGTCTCTCCATCATTCTGAGCAGGGTCGGGCGTAATTGCGGGACAGCATGGGGCTGTCCCCGGCTCTGTAACAGACCCGGGGACGGGGCTAATCACTGAGTTGCATGCTGCACCCCTACAGAGGAGCTTTCTGAGCCCCCGGCCCCACCCGGAGGCTGATTGCTGGGATTGATGCTGTCTGGCCTCCCTGTTCACCTGCAGACACAGCTGGTTACACCGATTACACCGATTCACAGGAAGATTACTTAATAGCTCTCCTCTCTTCTCGTCATTTCGACCTGCCCTCTCTCGCTCCGCCTGATCCCCTCTTATCCCCCTCTCTTCCCCCCTCATCCTCTTTTCTCTCCCTCCCACCAGCCGATGCGCTGCGAGATTACTTAATAGCGCCTTTTCCCTCCTCTCCTCTTTTTCGGCGCCCTCTCTCCTCAACCTCTCGTCTCCTCTCCCTTCAAACATCTGATTCTCAGTACCTATTATCCTCCTTCCAGTGTCTTTCCTGTCTGTCTCTTCTCCTCTTTTCCTCCTCCCCCTCTTCCTCATTCCTCTCCTCACCCCTCCCCTCCTCTTCCTCCTCCTCCTCCTGCCTGGTTTCTGAAGGCCCGGCGTCGGTGCGAGGTGGCATTCTGCTGAGACGGGAACGAATTTTAAAGCGCTTTCATCACGGCAACCGCAGCGGTCCGGAGCTGCGTCGCCGCCGCTACAATGGGCTACAAGTTCCATAGGATTTCCTGCCTGTCCTCCTTCATCCTCTTCTTCCCTTTCATCTATCTTCACCTCCCTTCCTCCCTCCATAACTTCCTGCCTCTGTTGGCAGCCGGGTTGTTTGATCACAGACCGCTTTATTCTCTCCCTCCCTTCCTCCAGCCCTCCTTTCTTTTCCTCGCCCCCTTCCTTGGCCCTGTTATGCGCTCTGAAGTCGTACAGCAGAGGGTTGATGCTGAAGGAGATGGAGGGCGATGTCTTGGTGTAGCTGACCATCTCCGAGGGCCAGAGAAGAACCCGGCTGCCATCTCGGCTCAGGACGCGACAAAACGGCTCTTTGGGACGATTCGGAGGCAAAGAAGTTGATTCTTTAGGCGCGTTTGACGGACAAGAGTTTGATTCTTTGGGATGTGTTTGGATTAAAGACTCTTTGGTCTCATTTAAAACACCAGTTGTTTTTTCAGGCTGATTTGTAGTGGGACAAAGCAGATATTTTGATTCTGGAGTAGGGGTTATCTCATCGTCATGGGTGTCAGCCTCATTGTCTCTGCGTACTGAATCTTTAGCCACAACTGTGCTTACACTGTCAGAAATCTGTCCCAGTGTCCCACTGTTTAAATAAAGATGAGCTCCAGTCCCACTTTCACTGCCGACTTGGGCTCCAGTCCCATTGTCATTACATAAGGAAAGCTGGGCTCCATTCCCACTGATCACAGAGCCCTCAATTCTGATCACATTGCGATTACATAAAGAAACCCGGGCTCCAGTCCCAGAGAGTCCTCCAGTTCCCCTCTCAGTAGACATATTGGCTCCAGCCTCAGAGTGCTGGATTGCAGTTTTAAGGTCCACACTGCACTGGTTTCCAGTGTCCAAGTGACCCGCACCTGCAACATCCACGTCTGCAGATACTGGAGATCTGAGCTGCTGATCCGCCACTTTCTCTCCCAGGTCTTTGACTCTTTCCTGCGCCGTCGCACCGTCTTGCTTCCCTGACAAACCGGAGCCCCGCCCGGCTTGGATGAAGACAGCGGCCGATTGGTGGAGGAGGACACAGCTCCTTTTGGGCAGCGAGAAGGACACGGGGCGGACTCTGCTACGCATGGACTGGACGTTTGGTCCACACGCCGCTCTGTTGATGCTGATGTCGGGGGCGGTGGTTTTGTTTAAAATGGAGGCATTAGTGGCGGTGTTCGTGGTAGTTGTGTTATCGGGAGTAATGGCGTGGCTTGAATAATTATGAGCCCATGGGATCTTGTTAAAGTGGCTGTTTTTCGTTGAAATTGTGTTGTTGGCGGTCAGGTCATTGTAGTCCATTTGAGTCTCGTTGAGGACGCGGGGTTCAGCAGCAGGAGTCGTCGCGCCGTTGGAGTCCATCGGGTCGAACGCCCACGGTGTGTCGCCCAGGAGTCTGGTTTCCAGTGCCGGGTCGAGGGGAAGGAAGGGCTGGCTCAGCGGGGTTTGAGGCTCTGTACATGGAGGGGAGAGCGGAAAGGATTGGAACAGCTGACAGTGGTTACATTTACATGCAAAACATAACAGGATTATCTGCCTAACCTGACTCTAAAGAAAGGAGTAGGAAGGGATACATGTAGAAGAATAGCATTCATTATGAAGCCTTCCCATACAGTAAGCTCCTTATGCATTTATTCAGCGCTCTGGCTCCTCAGCGGTACTTCTTTTGTTGCTTTAACACATCAGAATGTGATAAATGGGTGTAGGATGGACTTAAAGAAAAACATAAGCACAGAGATGAATGTGTGGCTCACTTAGAAATGGGGGGAGGGGATTAGATGAAGGGTTTTGTTCCAACATGTAATTTCCATTTGTTTATACCCACTTTGGAGAACAACATGCTGTCCATACATCAGTGTGGCACATGATTCAGGCAAATTATTTCTTGCATGAAGGTTTTGAGATGACTCGTGGCTTTAAAAGTAATCCATAATGTGCCTTCCACTCACACCAGAAACCTCTTTTGTTAAACATTCGAGACATTTCAGAAGGGAAGCTGCCGAATGAATTATTACTCCTCCGATACTAAATGTATTTTCACATTTAGCACTCCGAGAGGGTCGACTTTAAATGCAGTTGTCGAACTTTTCGGTCGGTTTTAACTTTAAAATGACAAAAGAAAACTTTACTGAATATGCAACCGATGTGTTTTCTGAAAAGACAGGGTGACAATTGATTGTTTCTTTGAAGCCACAGGAATGCTGCTGCCAAATTTGATGTTCATGCTTTCTTTATTACAAAAAAATGAATCTCGCACTCTAAAATCCACTCGAAATGGACTGCGGGGAGATGATATCACCTCCTGAATCAGAACAAATTCAGACTGAATGACACATTTAACTGGAAAATATTGCTCCAATCTCATTCTTCAGTGTTTTCGAGAGGTGTTGTTAATTCAACTTCATGGTCATTTTGAAGGCTGTATTTTGTGGTGCTGTTGAATAGATTTATGCTACACTGAGAGGTGTTTTCTAATAACTTCACCACCATTGATGAATGGTTAACACTGACTGCATTAGTTGTACTTGGGTGCAGTTTTCTTTTGCATAAAGTTAGTTGGAAAAGTAATTTATCACGAAATAAAGAAGGTGAACCTGTTAAAGTGATGTGCTTTTTGAGCTCTGCAGCAGTAAATGTGAATCGTCTGAGGAAGTTAACATAGATTGTTTTGTTAGATGCGGACAAAGTCGTCGTGACGTCACCCATTTGTTTGTGGACTGCCTCTTTTTGAAGCCGTTCGGCGTTTTGGCTGTCGGCATCTCTGCTTTTTGCCAAGACCACTACCAGTGAACGGAAGTTACAGTATTTAAACTCTGGAGGAGTGATGTAGAGATGCCGCATATGGCTCTGGTAGAGGCAGCAATCACTGTATAGCCCCGCCCTAAATCATACCCTGCTTTATGGTCTGTTTGACTCTAAATGGACCATAATGTACTAAATGAACATCATGCTGTATTGAAGAAGACTTGAAACTAGAGATTGAGACCATAAACTCATGTTTACAATGTTTACTGAGGTCATAAATCAAGAGAGAAGTAGAGTCATTTTCTCATAGACTTCTATACAACCAGAGGAGTCGCCCCCTGCTGGTCAGTAGAGAGAATGCAGCTTTAAGACACTTCTGCATTAGCTTCACTCTTCGGTTGTAGCCGGATCTTGAACCATTGGTCACTAGCTGGGTAATAACAGTTTAGGTTGATTTTAGTTAATGCAAAGTAAAGGAAGTCTTTATACCACCACAGCCATTAGCCTAGAGCCTACTAATCTGTAGTTACATCCAAAACCTTTTAACGCACAACCAGAAGTCCCCTCTTAAATTCAAAGGAATGTGTTTGTCACATCCACTCTTGTCTCATGATTGGCTGCATCTCTTTTGTGGAACAGTTTACACTCCAGCAGAGCTAATGTTACATAATTTGGGGTTGTGTGACTCAACTAATACAATGACTTCCTTTATTCTCTAACTCTATATCCACTTAAAGGTCAGCACTGTTGAGACGGTTTGCAATTGGTCAACGACAGGAATTTTTTGTGACAAAGTTCCCGAGTGTCCGAGCCCCTGGAGCGATGTTTCATTGTAGTAATTCTTCCACTTGTTATGTTGTTCAGCACTTCGTCTCCTCAGCCGACACTTCTCATCTGTGTGCATTTTACATTTCAGAGCAGTTCATTTCCTTTCTAAAGGCTGCTGTCGATAAAGATATGTCGAGATCACACTCTGTATAATTCCTCAATATCAAGAGCGATGTCTCCATCACCAAAACCAAACACATACTCATAAACTATTTAAGCAGTCGACTACATGCCTTTTATGCCAATAAGAGTTCTTACTTGTTCCCAGTGAGGCGCTGCTATTATGGACGTCGCCCCAGTTTTGCACAAATTCCGGTCCGGTCTGGTTTGCTGGTTCGACCGCCACTGTGGTGGACCGGAACATGGGACCAGAACCTGGGGCACTGAGGAGAGGGCAGGAGGAAAGGATTAAAGGAGAGGAAAGGTTAAAAGAAAAGAAATGAAAAGATGAAGAGAGGATGACAGTAAAGAGGAGAGGAGGACGAGAGGAAAGGGGACAAATAAAAAGGAAAGGAAAAAGGATTTTGAGGACAGAGGAATAAAGAGGAGAAGGGAGGATGAAAGGAAAGAGAAAAGGAAATTAATGGAAAAGAGAAGTGAGGAGAAAAGAAATGAGAGGAAACGATAAAGAAAAGGGGAGTAGAGGAGATAATTGAGAGTAAATAAATAAAGGGGAGAGGAAACAAATGAATTAAAAGGACAAGAGGAAAGTGAAGATAAAAGGAAACAAATACAAAGGAAAGGAGGATGGAAAAGATGTTGAGGAGAGGAGGAAACGAGAGGACAAGTGATGCGGAGAGGAGAGGATTAAAGGGTGAGTGAAGGAATAAAGTGGAAGAGGAGGATGAAAGGCAACAAATGAAAAAGAGAAGAGAGGAGGAAAGAAATGAGAGGAAACGATAAAAGGAAAGGGAGATAGAGGAGAGGATTGTGAGTAAATGAAACAAATTGGGAGAGGAAACAAATGGAAGGAAGAGGAAGGAAGAGAATGAGAAGTGAGAAAAGGACAAGTGGAAAGGAATGAAGGAGAAGAGGAGAGGGTGAACAGGAACGAATGAAAAGTGGAGGAAAGGAGGAAAGAGAATGAGAACAGGAAAGGAAAAAAGGACAAGAGGAAATGAGGAGTTAGGAGACAAATGATTAGGAGATTTAGAGGAAAGGAAGATGGGAGAAAAGGATAAGTGGAAAGGAGATGAGAGGACAAACAGTAACAAATGAAAAGGAGACGAAAGGAAAGAAATGAAGAGCAGAGGACAAAAGTGAAGGACGAAAGAGGAGAAAGGAAAGGAAAGGAGGAGAGTAACAGATGAAAGCGGACAAACAGGAGAGGTTCAGGGAGGAGGAAAGCAACAAAGAATGAATAGAAAGGAGGAGAGAAAAGGATGAACGGGAGGAGGGAAGGAAAGGACAGAATAACAAGGAGAGGATGAAAGGAGGGAAGGGGAGAGAAAAGTAACCAATGAAAAGGAGAGTAGAGGTAAGGAAGTCAACAAGGAAACAAGGAGACAGGCGAGGAGGAGAGGAAGAGCAGAGCTGAAATCCAGCTGAAAATCAATTTGGCCACGCTTCTCTCTCTCTCCTTCTCTCTCTCTCTCTCTCTCCCTCTCTCCCTTTGTGCCAGCAGCCATACTGCATTGTTGCACATCTGCAGTGACAGCCGATACTCTCTCTGTGCTGGTGGGCTTTGGGACAGCGTGATTGGTCAGAAACACTAACGCTGATTATCCCCGTCAAGCAGAGCCAAGATGCATTTTATTTGTTGCTGTGCCAACGCCTGTTGTAACCAGGGAGCTAGTTAGTGATCTCTTCTTCTTCTCCTCCCGTGATTTATTTTTACTCGTATCAGTCAGCACATGAAGCGTTTTCAAACACACGTAGGCCCACATTTGGCTCGACGGTCAACAAGTACATTAAGATTCTAACTTTCATGCGTTGGATTTAAAAGTCCTGGATGTTTTTTGATCCCGTCTGCAGGGACTATTTTCTGGCGGAGACCTACGTTCTTTCTATTTATTTTGTTCTTCTCTGCGTGGGCGTCTTCAGGTTGTGCCTCGCAGCTCCGACTCTCAAATTTTGCGTTCATGTGCTCTCGCTTGTGTATGTTTTTTTGAGAAAAAAGCTAAATTCTCTGTTTGGTAGCTCTCCAGATGAACTTTCATTACATCGTGTTTCCAGCAAGAAGGCAGCCAAAATCTTCTGTTTCCAAACCTCTGTGTTTGTTTATCATTTGCCTTACAGGTGTTTTATTTTTATTATTTTTTTTAAGACAGAACAGCGCTCTTGAAAATGTTCCGTGAACACACAGAGAGTTGATCTTTCAGTAGCAAGAACATACAGCTGGAAAGCAAACACAAGAGTAAAAGATCATAATGCACTGACTTAATTAAGTATGTTATGCTCTAAATCAATAGGACTTTTGACATGTCACGACAGGAAAAACACAGATATAAATAGTCAAATTAAATATGGCCGAATTCCATTTAGCTGCTTGAGTTTCAGGTCCCTGGGGTGCTTTTCCGCGGACGAGCTTAAGCTGCTAAATGAGAAATGCATATAGCGTCTATCTTAACCGGCATAAGTCGCTTCAAACCGTGTGCCAGATGTGGAGGTAAAGCCTTTAAACACCTCTGTTTTCTCGCTCTAAGCTCCTCCTGCAGCTCCTCGAGGTGCATTCAAGGGATTGGAAGATTCTCCATAATGATGAGGGGGGGGGGATAAGTTAGCATAATGAAAAAGCACCCTTGGTGTTGTGAATGTCGACTTATTTTCTCAACAGAGACGACATTAACGTTATCAACCCGTACGGTTCTTACATGACAAAATGTCTGCTGAGGAAAAGAGATCTCCGGCACAACTGCACCTACTTTCATGCATGAATGCGTCTGAAAAGGTCAAAACTACAGCAACACTTAGTCGTGGTACGAGAAGCTAATTTATCGTGAGGATGACTGTAATGAGATCCTTAACTTGTATTTTAGCTTTTCTTTGGTCTCAACCGACTCCTGAGTAAAATATCTGACTCTTCATGCTCCGCTATCTTAACTAGCTGGTTCCTAAATGTGTTTGTTAGTTGTTTTTGGTGCTGAGCTCGGCAGCTTTTAAATGCTGAAAAACAACTGCTGCTGGAAACGGGTTTAGAGAGAGTGATAATACACCATGGAAGTTAAGGGCCATAAAACTAAACAAGAAAGAAAACAAGATGCTGAAACACTAACGACGCTAAATGTTGACATAAAAAGGTTCCTGAGATACTGAGTCTAAATCAATGAAAGGTCATCGAGGAAAGAAAGTTAACGTAGAATTATTTGTCCTCATATTCCACATTATCCTGACTTAATGCACGTCACTCACCACTCTCCCGTCCTCCTCTCCTCATGCTTGCGGAGCCTCCTCAGCGCTCTCTCCTCCCTCCTCTCCTCCCTGCGTCTCCTCTGCGTCCTGCAGGCCAGCGCTCTGTAAAACTCCCTCTGCTTCAGCTCCTTGAGGCGCTGGAGGACAAGCACATGGATATATTATACTATTAACATGAGTAGTAGTGGTAGTGGAAATAGTGGTGGCAGTTTTTATTCCAACAGGAAGGATTAAGAAGTAAAATTGTCAAAAATACGTTGATCATGGAACATTTAGTTTGTGTGTGTGTGTTTGTCTGTCCATGCAATTCTTTATCTGCTCTGTGTGAAAGTACAACAATGTGTGTGTGTCTGTGTGTGTATGTGTGTGTGTGTCAGTTATGTGTACGTGTGCTTACTAAGTCAGCCAGTGTCAGCTTTACTACAGTCCAGACCAGCTTAATTCACTTACTGAGCTCTGTCTGCAAGCTGTCTGCAAGCCGGAGATACTGATACTGTGTGTGTGTGTGTGTCACATATAATAATAATAATAATATACCGGTGGGTTCATATCACAGACAGACAGATGACAACAGACAGACAGACAGCGAGGCGAGCAGAGAAACCGACAAATAGATAAACAGACCGAAATAGACAGAGAGATAAAACACACAGACAGACACATGAAGCATTTTCTTTTAGTTTTTTTTAAAGCTTGCAGTGTAGCTTCAGCATTTCTTAGAAGGTGTACATACAGTGTGAGGGGCGGACGGGGAAATGACAAGAAAACTTTACTAACAGACTGGAATCCAACGCAGAAACAAGAGAATCTTAAAAACCCTAAACTATCTGATTCAACACCACCAGTGGAAAGTTTAGCAGGTAATTGTTTTTTGCTAAACTAACACTGATATAATTAGTGAGTTACTACCTGAGTATTAATACCACATAAATACCTCACTTTGAACAATATAAGCATGGTTTTCTACAAAATGTGTTTTTCGTCAAACAGAAAAAGACAAACTTTGATGTTCAATTCAAATTAAAAATGTTAAATCTTGCAATCATACAAGAACAATAATCTAAAAATGACATGTTATTTTACTTAAATAAGTGAAAACAAAGTAAACTATTTATCTAACTTTCTCTACTTTAAAGTTTCAGTACTTGATTGAGCCAAAAAGGAATGAATTTCCAAGTGTCAAGTGAGAAGTTTAAGATTATTATATCATTGTGTGCTGAACTTAGCAATTAACTATGATTGATTGTGCAAAACAATGTGGAAGGTAGTGTTGAGTCTAATTGCTGATCATTATACAGCTGAAAATACAGGTTTTCACCACATTTGACAAAATGGAATGGAATCAGGGAAAATGTATTTTTATTTTAGGTCTGATGATTTGTCAGGACTATAAAGCAGTTTTTAATAATCTTTGCGGAAGTTATAGCCGAAAATAGATGATGAAACACCTTTAACGATCTGTCTATGTTATTAGCATATTGATACCTGCTTCACCGCTCATCAGACCCATCGATGAAAAGAACCAACGGTTGTCATTACGCGCAACCTTTACGTACGACTGTGTCTATTCACAGCACCGATTCCACTCATTTATCACATTCATCTGGCCTGCAGTTAACACATCACTCATAGTTTAGCTTTAGTGAAAACTCAACTCCCGGCTTTTACTTTACTGCTGTTCTTCACCGCTGTTTTGGAGAAAGGAAATATTGAGAGAGACACACAAACCAGCTTGAAAGTGATGTATTTTCTTTTTTTAACTAATGTTGTGGGTTGGATCTAATTCATGTCGTTCGTGTGCATTTTCGAAAAAAGTAACTGATGAATATTTGTATTTTAAAGTGTGATAATGTGATTTGGTGTGGTGTAAATAAGGACATTAGTTTGGTTGCACGCTTCAGTAACTTGCAAAATAGTACAAAAAAACCAACATGAATGAGATGAGATTGTGGATCCTGCCTTAGAAAACGTGTGTTATGATATTTTTGCCATATCGTCGGCTCTTACATAGAACAGTCCTTTTAGTTTAAGGACGGTGAGACTTGAATTTAGAATGAACGACGACTTCCTTCACAGTTCATCATAAGTGGATATAAACGGTCTTCTTTAACCTCAGAGTCCTTGTTTCAGATTCAGAGTGAACTTGAACACTGAACTAACACAACAATGTGTCACTTTCCTGCTGCAGATCTCACTGTTTAAATTAAATATTCAATTAGAAAAGCACACAGCCTCTTTAAGCAAAAATAATGTAGGATAATCCAGCTGTTTCTTTCTTTTTCTCAGTCTCCAGCAGCACAGGAAGTGCCTGTGACGTAGCCTCTCTGCAAACCACTTCATTTCCAAAAGAAGGCCGTGACCGAAAGACGGGCAGCTTAGCTCTGTGTGTGTGTGTGTGTGTGTGTGTGTGTGTGTGTGTGTGTGTGTGTGCAGGCTGGAGAATATTACTGCTAGAAAATCCATTTCCTGCAAGTGTTGCAGTCTCGAACAATATGCCCAAAATGCTCTGCATCCTCAAGTAAACCTAATAACTCTGACACGCAGCTAACTGTGAAAAATCTTATGCCTCTTTCATCGCTCGCGAGTGAACAAATGGTAATTGCAGCAAATACATTTCTCCCAGCACCTATAATTTTGTAAACACCCAAACAGCTGCAAGTTCTTCCTCCACATCCCACCATGGAGGAAAGAAAAACTGTGTTCACGTCACACTGAAAACATACAAATGACGAGAGAAGAAATATCACAAAATCATGACAACTCTTTTCTACTTTGTAGGCCTGGTGCATTATTGATAACATGTGTGTTATAATGTAATCAGCCAACATGTACTATTGATTTTAACCCAGAGGGATGCCCTAGATAACCATATTCATATTTTTTGTATTGATTTTTTTTTTCGGAAGAGAATAAAAGATTAACTTATTCTAGGATTCAATTAAAGCTACACGTTCTGGAAATAGTTCCCTCAAGCTCAAAGGCAGAGGGAGAGAAATGTTCATAATGATCTTTGGTAGCACTTAAACATTACAGCTCAGTAATAACACAGTAATAGTGGGGTAATAGTTTGACAAGAGGTTATAATTACTATGTAACTACCAAAGTAATGACAAGGTTATAGCTTGGTATTAACAATGGGTATATCATGTTAGACTGAAGTGTATTTGACAGGGTAACAAGGGGCCCAGAACAACACATTTTAAGATAGCAATGATGAAAAACTATTTAGTAATAGTATGGTAACATTTTGGGGACACCATGGTAGCCTGCTAACAATATAATAGTTGTATTAGTTCAATATTTGGGTCAATAAATGGTAATACAGTACGGTGACATTAATGAAGTAATAACCTGATAGTATTGAGGTAATCTAGGTTGATGTTTTCACAATATTAAAGGCTACTATCGGTGTAATAACTTCCAAAATCACATGACAATTCTTGGAAGTCAAAATTGGTAATTACCATGTTACAATGCTGAAATTCATCCCCTATATGTTCCAAACATTCTGTTTTACTTCAAGGTAATTCTGTACAAACGATTTGTTTAATGCTGAGACTTGTTCCCTGGAAACACTTGTTTTTGTGTAATAACCATGAATGAACTACCTATTACCTTCTAATGTATATTATTACCTCTTTATCATCAAACTATTACCCAATTTTAGCATGTTATTACCGAGCTAGTAACGTGCTTCCAGACCTTTTATTTTTACAAGATATTGAGCGAGACATTCATAAAACATAGATTGTTTATATAAACCTCTTTTATTTACGATTTTAAAAATCAATATATAATTGTAACAATATACCTAAAGATGTAGAAGGGATAGTTAGTTACCATGTTATATAACTATGTGTCTTACTTGTATTTGGTAGATAATCATAGCTTAAGTTTTGGGGGATGTAAACAGGAAGTGTAACGGTGATATGGATTCAGTTTGTTGGCTTTGGGCTACAACTTGAGCCCTGTTTCTTAAGCTAATATCTGTTTACATTTTGGCAACTTTTAAAGCTTGCTGTATTAGTTCTGCGGTTATAAGGAGCGTCTTTATTTTCTCAGCGGATTTATCGACATTAAGGAAATCAAGTCGCACTGAATCTAAAAGCTTTACGCGACATAAAATCAATCGGTAGAAAGTTTGCAGCCAAACCGGTCATAAGAGCCGATATTGTTCCGTGTTTGCGTGATTTCGTCGACCGCAGTGTGTGTGTAACAGAAACTGGAGCAGAGTGCTCGTGGAGGCTCAGGGATGTAATGAATCCGTGACCTTGGTCGGGAGGGTTTAAGGTGCCGCGTGGGGGATAAACCAGACCTCTGGGTGCCTTGTTAAGGCGGCATGACTCACCTGCTTGTGGTGGTGGTCGTGGGAGTTGATGTGGTTGTCGTACTGTTGGTGTCTCACGTACTGCTTATCGCAAAGCTCGCAGTAGAAGCTGGAGTCCCCTTCCTCCTATACACACAGAGAGAGAGAAGAAGAAAGGAAGAGGAAGACGTTAAATAGGAAATCTCACTCCGTGTATTGAGTGTCTTTGTGGTGATCTTCAGAATCATTGTACCATTAACAAGATGTATGGCTTCATCATTTTCAACCTGAATTTTTTTTAAAGAAGCAGATTTGTTTTATCCAAGATCTTATGTCCTTAAGCAGACAGAGGTTTTTTCTGCTTCTAAAAGGTAAGAAATCAATGATTAAGTATAAAAGAACGAACAAAGAGGTGGAACTACAGAGAAGTTGCTTTGCCAATCATCCACTTTTCTCTTATTTAACTTAAACCATTTAGCTCTGAGGATTCAAGGTGCAACTCTTCTGCTGACTGTTCGCTAAACACTGCCCTCCATATTTTACCCATAAAATCAATGAACACTCATGATAAATATTCGTGATCTCAATATTGATCCGAATAATCGTGATTGTCATTTTTCAATAGTGCAGCCTCACACTGTGAGGAAACACTAGAACACAGTGGATGTGCTTGACATGAACCAGGCTTTCTTTGTTTTATTTTAACCTGGCAACAAATCCTAATACAAAGGTTTGTATATCTTACGAAAAGTTACCCCAATAGACTGTATAGTAGTCATTGTGACATCACTCATAGGTTTACATCACTGCTGTTTTGAAGCCTCGAGTTTGGCCATTCCGTTTGTCCGTCGCCATCTTGGCTTATTTTGCAACCAGAGAACAGAAGTGACCATATTTGGACGGAGGAGTGACGTAGAGATGCTGTATACGGCTTAATTAGCGACCTGTCAATCAAAGCGTAGCCCCGCCCTAAAGCATACCCTGCTTTATGGTCTGTTTGACTCTAAATGGACCATAATGCACTAAATGAACATCATGCTGTATTGAAGAAGACTTGAAACTAGAGATTGAGACCATAAACTCATGTTTACAATGTTTACTGAGGTAATAAATCAAGAGAGAAGTAGAGTCATTTTCTCATAGACTTCTACACAACCAGAGGAGTCGCCCCCTGCTGGTCACTAGAGAGAATGCACGTTTTAAGACCCGGAGGATGCCGCCTGGTTACTCCTCATTTTTTACGAAAACCAGCAACACATGTCAATTTCTGCTGGTTGCATACGGTCTTTTCAAAATAAATTACCATCTTCACAGGAAACAACTTAGTTAGGTTTTGACAACAAAACAACTTTATTAGGTTACATGACGAATAAATCATAATTCGTTAACGTCTTATTTTAAAGTTCTCCTCGTGTGAAACGTGGAGAACGAACAGCGGTCTCCTGGCTGAAAGATCTCCGTTGGTTGGACCCATCCAACTCCTCTCCCCTCACACCCTGTGGGTGTTTTTGAGGTCTTTATACTTCCTCGTTCATGATATCATGGCTAACGTACAAAATAAATTAGCGGGAAATCTACGAATTACGGCACATTATTTCTCACAGGTTTTACTACTAACGGTGGCTGAGAGCAGCCTGTACTATTAAACCTACACTGAATGAGATGCTAACGCTAGCAGCGGATGAATAATCTGTTTGATCCATTCATCACTTCCTTTGCTGTTGTGTAAATTTGAACCATGACTTCAGACTCTTTTAAGTTGGTCGTAAAAGCGAAATGAAAACAGAAGTGTGTACGTGTGTTTGTGTGGGTGTGTATATAATACCATAGTGTATATGTGGGAGTGGTGAGTTACAGTCGGAGCCGGTATCGGTTGTAAAATGCATTTATGGGGAATACATATTCATCATTCTCAAGCTTTTAATTTGTTACCTGTCATATGGAGTGTGTGTGTGTGTGTGTGTGTGTGTGTGTGTGTGTGTGTGTGTGT